CTATTTATAAAATAGATGCTTCCTCTTGGGGTGGGTGTGAGCATGGCCGTGAGAGTTCCCCATTCCAACTACTGACACCCAGTAACACAGAGCACTCCCAGGAGCAGGCCCCCTGCTCCTCTGGCTCTGAGGCTGCCCATGTCCGGCTGCTCTGTGCTGAGGTTGCGCCATCGCCCGTGCAGCGAGCCTCCTTCTCAAGTCCTCCTTTCTCCGACCTGGAGAAGCATCCAGGTCAGCCTCAGCCCCCTCCATGTGGGGCAGGTTGGGGGATGGCGCCTGCTAACCTGCTGGGCGTGCAGAGGCTGTCTTGTACAAGGAGCACTGCACACCTGCCACACAGCGCCTGATGGACTTTTGCATCACTCTTGGCACCGGGTCAGTCTTGGGAAGGGATGGCTTCCTCCCTCTTTACAGTGCAGCCCGCCCCAGCTGTCCAGTTCAGGTGGTATAGAGAGGGAGCAGGACAGCTCAGGGATAGGATGCCAAAGCCTGCTTCCCTCCCTGTGTTCTGGGTCCCCTGCTCTGCCCAGGGCTAACACCCTAACTGAGGTGGGCAGGAGTGGGATTCCAGCTCCCCACCCCAATGGGACTCTAATAGTGGGGGAGGTGGGGGTGGAGGAGGGGGCAGAATAACCATCGCAAACCCTAGTGCAGTGCTTACCATGTGCCAGGAACCATTCTTGGTCACTCACATAACACATGTGTGTTCATTGGTTTAATGTGGACAGGTACTGTTACTCTCCTGTTTAACAGATAGGAAACTGAGGCACAAAGGGATGAAGTGGTGGTGGAGCTGGTGCAGGGGATGCTCCCATGGGGCCTGGCTTCTTCCTCCTGTCCTCATGTCTGCCTCGCTGGTGAGCAGGCCTCAGGCCCGGCCTGTTGCTTCTCTTTGCCCAGGCTCTGCTTGGCTTGGGATGCTGACCACGCTCCAGTCTTCCCGTGTGGACGCCTGCGGGGAAATTGGTGGGGAGATAAGTGGGACCGTCCTGCCTCCCTCCAGGTTCTGGCAAAGACAGAAAGGCAGGGCACCATATTTTGGGATAGCTCCCATATCTCCGTTATTGCCACCCTCACCCTAGAGGTCCCCCCAGGTAACGGACTCTGTGGCCTGCTCCCTGGCCCTGCCACACTGGTAGGCGGGCTGCAGCCAGGCCCCTGCAGCACAAGGCAGCAGTCTCGCCTGCAGTGCAAGAGACTCTCAGACGCAAATGTGGAGGGAGGAGGGAAGTCACAGTATCTGTTCCAGGTTTAGCATGCGCTTAAAATACTTCACAGGCTTCCAGGCATTCCTTGCCTAAGAGCCTGCATGGCTTTTTACTGGGAAGACACTTTCTCCCGTCAGATTCAGGCCCGCAGGGCTGTAGGGGCCGCCTGTGTCCTTTTTCACACCCAGGGGCGGAACCGTCTCCTCTTGGCTTCTGGTTGAACCTGCCACCGCATCTCTGCTGTTGCCCTGTTAGCACCTCGGGAATCCTGTTTTCTCTCCTTGTCCCTTCTCTCTGGCTGAGCTCAGGCACCTCCCCGCTGTTCTTTACTTAGCTGGTACTCCAGATTAGCACATTCTTGATTTCCTCTCTCCAGGCGCTCTGCACGCCACAGCTGTCCACCAGGCCTCTTTGGCTCTTCCCGGCTCTGCCCTGACGTCAGCCAGCCTGCCCTCCTGACTGATCTGAAGGTCTTGCTTTCATTGCTTGCGTTGGTTTTCATAGCCATTCAGGGACTTCCGATAAGCATGCGCCTGGGTGTCAGTAACCAGTCTTCATGGGAAAATTTAATTATGTTTCTCTTAGAATTGAAAAGTGCTACCCTTTCCACCATGTACTTATTTTGTTAAATTGAATCCAGTTTGACAGATGAGGACACCCTTTTCAGAAACTTAGTTGGCTTCCCTGACACAAGCTGGGACGTGCAGACCTGGGACACCCATTGTGTGTGATTCCAAGGCCAAGTGTGTTATATACTAGGTCCATCAGCTCCTCTGCAGCTGGAGAAATGTGTGTGAGCCTGGAGATGGAATGTGCCTGGTGCCACATACACTAATGTTTCTAAGGCAGAAGGAAAGGAACTTGGAGTGTGTGGTCCGATTTCAGGAGGGGCTGGGGGGCGTGCTCTTGGGTTTGGCCTTGTTGCTTCTTCACTTAGCACAGCTCTGGTTGGTTAGAGCTTGGAGCTGGTTCCCAGGGGGTGGTCACCAGGCTACAGACAGAAACCCAGCCTACAGTCCTGCTGATGACTTGTGCTGGTAACCCACGTGCTCCAGCCTCAGCACAGATGTGATGGAGAGGCCCCTGTGTGGTGGCAGCTGTGCTGTGGGCTCAGGGACGGGTGCGCGGTAACAAAACACTCTCAGAGGCAGTATTGCATTAGTTGCTTACCATGGCTCTAGGAGGCAGGGCGCCAGGTGGGGATTAGCCCCCCTAACTTACAGCTGCGAAACAGACATAGAAAGGTAAGGACCTCTGCAAGGCCATGATGCAACCAGAAATTGATCCGTGACCTCATATTGCCTCTGAGTAATTTGACAACTTGGTTTCTTCTTCTTTGAGCCTTAATTCCTATGTGCCTGTAGGGGGCGATAGAGGTCTTTCCCAGTTGGCTGCTTTGAAAAAAACGATTGCTCCTGAATCCTTTGAACTTTTCAGTCTTACAGCACATTATCTCAGTGGGTTTTAAGTATTTTCTGTCCACCTTCCTAGGGCGTCCCCCACCCCCAGCCCGAGTTCTTTCAGATCAGGAGCCTTCTATTTGGTCTTGACATCCAACACAATGTGCGGCCCATAGTAGGAGCTCACTGAACGCTTGTGGAATTGCTCCATGCACATAAAGGCAGCCAGTGCCGCCTCCTACTCTGCACAGAGCTCGGGAAAGGAAAATACACTCTTTTCCTGGTCCATCCAAATGAATGAAGTTGAGGGTGGCAGAACCCAGGGCCTGTGCAGTGTCCTCATATGGCCACTAGGTGACAGTGTGACCCCATGGGGACCTTGCCTCTTGCCTGCTCAAGACTGAACTAACTGGGCACCTGTTGCCTCTGCAGTCTGTCTGCGGTTGGCGGTCTGAGACTGACAAGTCTCGGCCTCCATCACTTCTCTGAAAGTCATGTAGTGTAGTACAGCACAAAAGGCGTGGGCTCTGCAATCCACCCGCCCTGGACTCCAACCCTGGCTCTGCCTTCCCCCGAATCTGAGCCTGGGACCCACTGTTTCTTCGAGCCTCGGTTTCCTCACCCTTTAACATGGCGATTACTGTAAAATTAGAGAAGGCCGAGCATATCATGGACCCCAGCATAGAGGAGTGCTGGTTTATTGTTGGAAATCCCCGCGTTTGCCTTTCAGCGCCCCCTCTCATCCGCTCCATCTTGGCTGTCTGATCCTACTCACCAGGCCTCACTCGCTTTCCAGCAGCAGGTGCCTTAGCTCGCCCCCCAGCCCAGCCCACTCCCTCTTGGTCAGCCCTGATTCCCGCTGTTTTCCTCTGCTGTCAGCCTCCCCTTCTGCCTGTCCAGTTCCTGCTTAGCCCAGCTGCCTCCTCCCACCCCAGCCCTCTAACTGCCCAGAGAAGTTGGGTGTGTACTGTAGCGCTAGTCTTGACTGCCCACGGTTGGTCAGTCTGCGAGGGTCCTTATCTTAGTTATTTTGGCATCAGCACTGTGCATTTGGCAGACATTCTGTAATGAGAATGACGACTGCTGTTACTGAGCACTGCCAGGCACTCTGCGAGGCATTGTGCAGGATTTTTCATTTAATCCTCACAACAGATTTATCCCATTTATAAAGGGATGTGTCAGATGCCTCTTACCACAAAGAAGCCACGAGGGACGTGTGGTGGTATCAGCAAGAATCCAGGCAGGTGCCACCTCTCCTGGTTGTCTTCCTCAGTGTGTTGGCTTGTCCTCTTAGGCTGTTCCCCTATGGCACCAAGGTGACTGCCTCAGTCCCAGGGCCATAAATGGGAGAGGTGATGTATGATCCCTGCGCTCCCTTTAAGAGGCCTCTCAGCAGATCTCCTACAAAGTTCTTGGCCGACATTGGTCTGAGGCTTATTCCCAAGCCAGTCAATAGTGAAGGGCCTGGACATAAGGAAACTGGCTTGGACTAGTCAAGGTTCAGCCCCTGAGACTCATGAGATGCATGTGGGATCCAGGCTCCTTTAATGTCCCCGGCCACCTGGTCCATGAAAGAAGGGGGATGTGAATGGGGCTTGGTGCGGTAAATAACTCGCTCAAGGTCGCAGACCTCATAGGAACCTGGATTCTAAATACATTGCGCTGACCCCGAGGCCACCTGTTGGTTGAATGAAATATCACAGGTAGAAAGGACTTGCTCAGGATTTGGTGTGCTGGGGTTGAGGGGTCGTGGGGTTCCTTTGCTTATAAATTCTTGAGTCTCTCCATGTTGGATTGGGTTTCCTCAGTCTGTCTTGCTCCCAGACCTTCTTTATCCCTGTCTTTCAGTGCCTCGCTGCTGCCTGCCTCCTACAACAGACTCTATGCCAGTGGGTCTCAACCTTCTGGCCCTTTAAATACCGTTCCTCATGTTGTGACCCAACCATAAAATTATTTTCGTTGCTACTTCATCACTGTAATGTTGCTACTGTTGTGAATCGTAATGTAAATATCTGATATGCAGGATGGTCTTAGGTGATCCCTGTGAAAGGGTCGTTCGATCGCCAAAGGGGTTGCGACCCACAGGTTGAGAACCACTGCTCTATGCCTTTAGTTGGGTAGACTGTCAAGGCCCCACGGGTCATTTGGGGTTTCTTTTAGAGCAGACAAGGGAGCTAAAAAGCTCCAAGTCAGCATTTAGAAGAAGGAGCTGCCAGGGAAAATGCCAAGGAGACTGGTTTGGTAGGGGGTCAGTGGGAGTGGGGAGTTGATGGCGCATTGGTGGGATGCCAGCCGGCATGTGGCAGGGCCTTGGAATAGGCCCATGTGGGGCAGCAGCCGGCTGCCCCCTCCTGAGACAGCGCAGTGATTCGGGCGGCTGTTTGCCTTGCAGATGCTGCAGGACTGCCCCAAGGCCCGGCGCGAGGTGGAGCTGCACTGGCGGGCCTCCCAGTGCCCACACATCGTGCGCATCGTGGACGTCTATGAGAACCTGTACGCGGGGAGGAAGTGCCTGCTCATCGTCATGGAGTGGTAAGCAGCCTGCGGATCTGTTCCTGGCCCCGCCTCCCACTCCCTGCCCAGGCCCCTCACGGATTTTTCGGTGTGTGTGTGTGTGTGTGTGTGTGTGTGTGTGTGTGATGGTGAGTGGTGGGGTGTGTTCCCGAGACCTGACCATGGCTTTGTTTCAGCTTGGATGGTGGAGAACTCTTCAGCCGAATCCAGGACCGAGGAGACCAGGCGTTCACAGAAAGAGGTAGAAAGGGTCTGTTGGGGGACAGGCCTCGGGCAGGCAGGGCAGCGGGTGACTGAGGGGACCTTCCGCAGTGCCTGCCCTCGGCGAGGCCTGCTGAGGCTCCCGCCTCCTCCCGCTCGCTGCCAGGGCTGCCGTCTCCCCTGAGCCCGGGTGGCTGAGTTTACAACCCTAATGACACACCAGGTGACTTTCTTTCCTCTCCTCCACAGAAGCTTCAGAAATCATGAAGAGCATCGGTGAGGCCATTCAGTATTTGCACTCAATCAACATTGCTCATCGGGATGTCAAGGTACCAACTGCTCACCACCCGCCCCCTCCCAGCTCAGGTGCTGCTGAGGGCCCACGGAAAGGGTGCCAGGGTCGTCCGCCCGCCCCCTTGCTGCCTGGTTCCTGGCGACAGGGTGGGGTAGGGTGGGACAGGGTGCTCTTCTCTGCTCCACAGAGCCTGCCCTCTCTGGGCAAACCCCCAAACGCAGTCGGAAGCCCTGTGGTCCTCCGGTGGCACTGCACAGCCACCCCTGTGCTTCTCTGCCCTGTGAAGTCACTGCTGGTTCCGTCAGTAGCCTCTTATCTCCAAGCTCCGGGAAGGCAGGGAGCTAGTCATGGCGGATGGTGTGCAGATCCCGGGGGCCCGACAGATGGCTGTGGGTGAGGAGGGAGGGAAGTCATCTTCACCCTTTCGATCTCTGGTAGCCCTCATGCAGGAGTGCTGTTTTTCTGCCTCCCTCTGTAGCCCGAGAACCTCTTGTACACCTCCAAAAGGCCCAACGCCATCCTGAAACTCACCGATTTTGGCTTTGCCAAGGAGACCACCAGCCACAACTCGTTGACCACTCCTTGTTATACGCCTTACTATGTGGGTAAGTCCAGGGGAGGCCAGGCTCGTCCTCCCCCTGAACTTCTGTCAAACCCTCCTCTTCCGGCCTTGGAGCCACAGGCCCCAGGAGAGGCGTGTCCTCTGGCCCTTTGTGGCGCTGGTTCCGTGTGACCTGAATGGAGTAGGGCTCGTCAGAGATGGGCTGGGGCTGGGGTTGGGGTGTCCTAGGACACTATCTGAGGTCGCGGCAGGGTTTTGTGCACATGGGCACTTTCCCGAGAGGAGCTGTCACCTCCATCAGATGCCCAGTGGTCTGGTGCCCAGATTTGGCTCTGGTGCCCAGCTCACTGGCACAGGATAAATTCTCAAATGTGTTTGTCAAAGTAAATGGACATCGTGCGTCTGAAAGGCTCTTGCCAAGAATTACCTTATCTTAAGATTCTAGTCCTAAGTTCCACTGGGAGGAGGGTCTTTGCTCTCCTCCTTCAGCTCTGGGGCGGGGTTATGGCTGTTCCCCTCCCTCCTGCAGCTACAGTCCCATCGTGACAGGCTGATGGTCTGGGCTGGGAGCATCATTTACAGAGAAACTGGGGTAGATCTGCATGTTCAAGGGCCAGGCCCATCCACACTGACCTTTGGTTTGCAGCTCCAGAAGTGCTGGGCCCAGAGAAGTACGACAAGTCCTGTGATATGTGGTCCTTGGGTGTCATCATGTACATCCTGTGAGTGTGCCGGGAGGGACCCCAGGTCGGGGCGGGGCCGAGGTGGGAGGAAGCCTGCTCCTCTCTGATCGAGAGGAAGAGGTGAGGGTTAGCATTCCCCTTCTGGATGGGGATTCCCTGGGAATATCCTGCACGCCCCCCTCCCTTAGTGCTAGTGGGTCTGAGAGCTAAGTGATGGTTGGAAACTAGCCGGTGAGCGGAGAAATGTGTGGTTTGGGTACTTGGGTACTTGGTATGTAGGAATCAGGGCCCTGTCCTCTGTACTGTGCCTGAATCAATGAGTCCCCATTTGCCCGTGACCTTTACAAGAAGTCTGCTTCTCATCCTGTTCCTGGTGCAGGGCCCCTAAATAACACCAGCTCTGTCCCTCTCTCTGCTTCCCTCGGCGCAGGCTGTGTGGGTACCCACCCTTCTATTCCAACCATGGCCTTGCCATCTCTCCGGGCATGAAGACGCGCATCCGAATGGGCCAGTATGAGTTTCCCAACCCAGAGTGGTCAGAAGTGTCAGAGGAAGGTAAAGAGCCATATGTGCGAGTGTGTGCATGTGTGTGCGCGTGTGTGAGTATGCACGCGCGCGTGTGCATGTACGAATGTGTGTGCATGTGTGTGTGAGTGTGCGTGTGCACGTGTGTGCAAGTGTGTGCATGTGTGTGGGAAGGAGCAAGAGAGGGAGTGGGGCCCTGACTGTGTCCCTGTGTCCCTCCCACAGTGAAGATGCTCATCCGGAACCTGCTGAAAACAGAGCCCACTCAGAGAATGACCATCACGGAGTTCATGAACCACCCCTGGATCATGGTGAGCCCGGCGGCGGCCAGAGAGACCTGGGTCTTGGGGGACAGTCCCTGGGGGCAGGGCTTAGCCGGGACTCTGCCCAGCCTAGGTTTCACTTGGACCCTGTTCTCTCCCCTCAGCAATCAACAAAGGTCCCTCAAACCCCACTGCACACCAGCCGGGTCCTGAAGGAGGACAAGGAGCGGTGGGAGGATGTCAAGGTGAGGAACCACGGGCCGGGAGGGTGCGGGGTGCCTGGCGGTGCTGGCCGGGGAGGATTTGGTTCTGCATTCTCCCACCCAGAGGTTTCTGTTACAACAGGAACAGCGAGTCTGAGCCACTTCCCTGACCAGGTTGGGGCAGAGGAGTCTGTGTTCCGGCCTAAACTTGGGGGCTGTTTCCTACAAGCTCTCTATTCCCTGGGTCTCTAAAAGGGCCTCCGAGGTACTATCTTCTCATTTTGCAGACGAGGAAACAGGCCCAGAGAGGGGAGTGACCTGTTCAAGGTCACACAGCTGATGACTGGCCGGGGCAGACTTTCTGCGGGGCCCCTGGAGGGCTCTCGGAGAGCGGCAGCAGCGGTGGCGACTCAGTTGACCCAGCCCAGGGCTGAGGCCGCTTTTGGTCCTGGACCTACTGACCAGCCTGCTACTTCTCTCTGCTTTGGTTGCCCTCATCCTGCCTTTATTTGTTTTTTTAAATATATTTTTATTGATTTCAGAGAGGAAGGGAGAGGGAGAGAGATAGAAACATCAGTGATGAGAGAATCATCGATCAGCTGCCTCTTGCACACCCCCCACTGGGGATCGAGTCTCAGCACCTGCCCGGGATTTGAACCGTGACCTCCTGGTTCGTAGGTTGATGCCCAACCACTGAGCCACCCCCGCCAGGCTCACTCTGCCTTTACTTATGTCTCTCACATCTCCGTTGGTGAAACCCTTTCCCCAGGAGGAGATGACCAGTGCCTTGGCCACAATGCGTGTCGACTACGAGCAGATCAAGATAAAAAAGATAGAAGATGCCTCCAACCCTCTGCTTCTGAAGAGGCGGAAGAAGGCTCGGGCCCTGGAGGCGGCGGCCCTCGCTCACTGACCGCTCAGCCCGTCCTTCTCCGCTGGAGGACAAGCAATAACTCTCGACCTGAATCTGTTTTTTAAATGAAGACACAGGCTGCCCACTGCCGCCTCCCTCCTCCTCGGCTTGCGGAGCAGGAACCTCGTGAGGGGCTGACTCCTGCCTTCGGCTCTGGCCGCCCGGAGGGAGGCCCGGGGTCTGGAGGGCGTGCAGAGGACGGAGCAGATGCTCTTGAACCTGTGCTCAGTCTGCAGTTTTATGATTTGACTTAGGATTTTTATGAAACTTCTTTTATTGTCCTTTCCTCATCCCCCTCCCCCCAAACCCCTTCCTCTTGTTAAAGGGTATTTGTGGAAACTGTTGTAGGGAGTGTCCCTGTGTCGTCCCATCTGCCCCGTTTCCCCACTACAGCCTCAGCTCCCCGCTGGCCGAGGCGCCTGGCGCTCAAGGCCATGGAGGTCTGGGGCCAGGATGCCACCACCTCCTACTGGATCCCTCGACATCACCAGTGTGCCAGACAGATAGGAGTGAGTGACTGTGTGTGTGTGTGTGTGTGTGTGTGTGTGTGTGTACACGCGCCCGTGCATGTGTGCCTAGGACTGCGCATTTGTGGGGCCAGGGGCAGGCCGGGCTGCATAAGGACGGCCCTGCTGTGGTTCAGGAACCTTTTCCCTCCTTGGCCTGTCCCGCCCGCCTGTGGTGAGCCTGCCACGGTGCCTGGAAGCCCGTCCGGACTCGGAACCTGGCCTGCGTGCCTGTCTCTGTTAACTGGTCCAGGAGGTGGAGAGGAGTGACTTAGCACTGGCCCAAATCAGGAAGACTGCCCCCCCCCCCCTTAGTGCTGGTCCTAGTCCTCTGAGGCGCTCATCTACTGAGTAACCTCTGCTTCCCCTTCCTGCCTTTGTTCGCCCATTGCTTATTTTTCTTACATTTTTAGCCATTTCTCCGCAGGCCTCCTCTCAGCTCGCCGGGGTGAACATGGGCACTTATATGGGACATAGCTTCTGCGCTTTGCCCTGGGCCCTGGTGTTAGGCAAAGGCAGCACCACCCTGTGGCCTCCCACACATTTCCATTGTGTGGCCTAGTGGGTGGGGGGTCTTCACACCAAAGATGCCCCGACTCTGCCCCGACCCATTAGCCACTCCCCCCACCCCAAACAGCTTGGCTTCATGTGTCCAGGCCAGTGAGGAGCGAGGAGCAGCGTGGGGAGAGGCCCTCGGTGCCATGGTCCCGTGGGGTGGGGTGGGGTGGCAGTAATACTTCAGTTTTCATCTCCCTCAGGGCAGGGGGGACACTCAGGTCTTCTCTGCCCTGGGGAGGGCTCCAGTGCCTGCAGCGCCTCTGTGTCTGATGGTGTGTCCAGCACTTAGATTGTTGTAAATTGTTGTTTTGTATGAGCGAAACTGTCTTTACTAAACAGATTTAATAGTTGAAAGGTTTTCTTTCTCTTTTTTCATGGGCCTTAGCCCTTGACCCCCCACCTCTCCTCTTCCCATGTGGAGAGTGGTTCTATGGGCTGGGAATCCTGGGAGAGGAGGGAGGGGAGGAGACTGGACTGGAGGGACAGGAGGGGACGAGGGGACGAGGAGAGGAGGGCCTTCTGGGCGAGCAGCAGCCAGCGCCTGCCCTGTTGACGCCTGGCCAGGTGGGTCTGGTGCAGGGGTATAATGCTCTCCTTTGGAGCAGGTGGAGGTGCCAATAAGGGCTGGGGAGCCCATGCCCTTTTGCCAAATACCGAATCAGGAGTCAAGTTGCTGCTTGGCACACGATTCTTTCACCTCTTTAGCCACAGCCAGACATTGGCACCCTCAGCCTAGCCAGGCCGACTGGCCTGGGGGTCTAGGGAGAAGAGGGTGAGTGATAGTAATTTGGTTCAAATCCTCAGACCAGGGGAGCAGGTGGGTGTAGTTCCTGAAGGTTCCAGCAGGGGGAGGTAGGGGTCAGGCAGAAACAGGTCAGAGCTGGAAGGGGCCTCAGGGTGCATGTGACCCATTCCTCCCAGTTCACAGATAAAAAGCTTGAGGCCCAAAGTGGGACTTGAGATCACATGATGACTTGGGGTGTGGCAGGGCCACACTGCTCCCTCCCAGGCGGACAGTGAGAGTGCATCCTGGACAGTGTGACGTGTTCTCATGATCCTTGGAGCTGTGTGTGTGTGTGTA